CCATTCCTAAGAATGGGATTATGCTGATTCCAAACTAGTGGTGCAAAAGCGGCTCTACCATAGACAGAATTCTCCAAATCCTTTTCCTCTTACTGTTCACCATGAACAGATACTTATGCCTTGATGAAAGGAAGTGCAGGATAGAGAAGCTAAGTCTTGTACGTTCCCCAGATTATCAGGATCTCCACCAAATCTCTCCTCACAATTTGTGTCACTGTTTTCCATCCCCTCCGCTCTGTCTTCCTAGTACTTTTGAGTATTTTTTTCTGGTGAGAGCTAAATGTCATTATTACTGTAATCAGTTTTATTTGTTGGTAGGACTTCTTTGGACAGTTAATGGGGAGTTTTCTGACGGAACTCAGGGCAAATGTCCACATGTACCTGACATATACCAAGGGTTGCTGCATGTAGCCCCATCCATGTTTCCTCTCTTTAAGATTATTTATTTATTTGAGAGAGAGAACAAGAGGGGGCAGGGCAAAGGGAGAGAGAGAAGCAGACTCTCCACTGAGCAGGGAGCCCACCTTGAGGCTCGATTCCACACCATGGGATTATGACCTGAGCTGAAGGCAGATGATTAACTGACAGAGCCACCCAGGTGCCCCCACATTCTCTTCTTTATATTGTGATCTTGGGTCTGGTACCGTATGGTACCCTTCTCCTCTATTTTCCTCAGTGTATCACCATATAATCACAATCTTACAGAGCCTTTGAGCAAACATGAGGAATCTTAGTGAGCAGACCAGGCAAAGAATGTAACAGAAGTTAGAAGACTAGAGAGATGTGGGTTGGGGAGAAAAATTGTATTCTATTCTGTGGTGTTCTTATTCCTGTGTTAATTTGTTCAGACCCATCACAGAAGCACTAGACAGTGTTTAGGAGTAATTTCAAGTATTCTCTGGCCATGATCTTGCCTAAGGTCATAGTATCCTACTCTCTCTGGTCATGCCTTCCTGGCTGCAGCACCCAGGAAAGAAGCCCCTTTGCAGGAGATGCAAAATAAAATGCCCTGTGCTCACCACTTTCATCTTGTGTTTCTCCTTGGAACATCAATCCATTTCTGCCAGTGAATGTCTTTTTCTCACATGGTGGTAATTTTCACTCACCATTTCACCTATCTCTGCTGGACATTCAATCTTTGGTTGCTGTTGTCAGAAACTCAGGCTATGTACGTCAGCCCTCAGAGAACAGAATTTCTATATTTCTGCAGATTCGATCTTCAAGTTCAAGCTAAAGCCAACCTTTCAGCATGCCAAGAGGCCTGCCTTCAAGAACCTCTTCACTTGCTCAGAACTTCTGAGGCAATGCTCTTTTCATTATCTCTGGCCTTGGTTAGATTCTCTAAACATCTGATCTTGATTACTCTTTTTTCTTTTCTTAGTTTTTTAGTTTTTTTTTTTTTCAGTTTCTTGACTACTCTACCCTGAAGGGTCAATTATTTCTACTTTTCTTTGTTTTCTGTTGACAGTTTTGGGCATTAAAAAAAAAAAACAATGTTTACTTCAAATCACACAAAATACCTCTTATTTATAATGAAGGAGACACCAAAGCAATTAAATATTATGATATAATGGAGATTGATCACTCTGTGGACTGGAAATCAAAGATTGGATTTCCATCATTTTGGCTCTATCACATCTAATTATGTGATGTGCAAATCAAATTCAGAGTGTCTTAACTCCTTTTTTTTTTTTTTAACTCCTTTTTTGGAATAGGACTTCTAATGCCCATCCTGGCCAAATGTTTTATGATTTAAAGACATATAATGCAAAGTTAATTTGGTCAAGCCAGCCATATGTTCTTCAGTTAAAACTTACGCTGAATCAAAAAAAAAAAGCTACTATTTTTGATAAAGGCACATTTTCTCTCTCACTCTAGGCACTTGCATATGAGCCAAAATATGCCTACCTCTGGATTTAACTGCATAGGTTAACTATTACTGAACAATGCTGTGTAATGGTTACACAATTTCGGCATACAACAATATTTAATTTATGCACCTTTGAGGTAGGCTGGAGATTGGTTGGTCTAGACTCTGCTTGGTGTGGTTCTGGTCTGCTCTATGGGTCTCATCTTCTTCAAGCTGGCAGGTTAGCCTGAAAGTGTTCTTCTCATGGTAATGGCACAGAACAAGAGTGAGTCCAATCACACGAGCAACTTTCAAGCCTTGGCTTAGTCACACCCATGATATTCCACTTTCTAAAACAAATAACATGGCCAAGCTCAAAGTCAAGGCATGCTTATGGTGAAGGTAGATAAGGAAGAGGATGTTTCTGAACAATAATGTCATCTAACACACTGTGCTTTGAAAATAAGTGATGGAAATTCTTACGCCTGGCTTCTTCTCAGTGAAAATGAAGGCGGTGATGAAGACATCCAGAAACCTTGGGGATTAGGGTCTAGTGTTGCTATTTCTTATGTGGGACACAACTAAATCCACCTCTGGAGAGAGGAGTTGCTGGGTTAAGACAGATTCTATGGACTTACTTACACACAATTTTCAGGTGCAGGAGAAATGGTCATTTCAGTCAAATGAGAGAGATCAAAATCACAGCACTGCCTGAAAAGCATCTAGAGTCTCTTTATTTTGTAGATTTGTGAAAAATTCCCTCTGAACCACTGCATGAGTATCCCTCCATGGGTAAGCAGCTGCTGCTCTCTGTATTCACATTGGAGATGAATTTGCAAATGTTGAACAGAACTTATTAATTAATAAGACTAAAGCAGGTCAATTCAAACAGAAGCTGATATAAAAACGCCATGTGACATCTGTCAAAGAATAGACTGAAAAATGATAATGGACTTTTGTTATACTGTAAAACTGTCCATCCCAATCTCAACATTCTGCATCTCTGCTACTTTTACCCTAATACCTCTACTTGTATTCATGTCTCCTAATGAAGCAGTGAAATAAAGCCATGAGGACCTGAACACAAATTACTGGTGATTAAATTGTATTAAATAAAAATAACTACATGTGAAGCAACCAGTATATACACACACACACACACACATAGTCTTATTTATTTCTATAAATAACTATATATATATAGTCTTATTTATTTCTTGAGAATTAATGAGGAATTGGGGGTAATTAAAGCAGGCAAACATTAGTTTATTTTTCCATTCATTGGGCTGTATTAGTTATCTATTCCTGTGTAACATATTATACCTAAAGACAGTGGTGTTAAATAATAAGTATTTATTATCTCATACAGTGTCTGTGGGTCAGAAATTCATAAGAGGTTAGCTGAGTGGTCTGGCTCTCATGAGGTCCCACTCAAAAGATCAACTGTGTTGTTAACTGTGGACTTAAGTGGGGGCTGGAGGACATGCTTGTAAGATGGCTCATTCATATGGTTGGCTAGTTGATACTTGCTGTTAGCAAGAGCTTCAGTTCCTTGACAGGTAGACCTCTCAATAGGGCTGCTTGCATGTCTTCACATAATGGCAAACAGCTTCTTCCAGAGAGAGTGATCAAAGAGGTCAAGGTGGAAGCTACAATGTGTTTTACGACCTAGCCTTGGAAGTCACTTCTGCATATCTTCTTGGTTATATTGCGCCTGGAACTGGTACTTACTTACAAGATTGTGCAAGTGCATGGCCCTGAATTTGAATATCTCTTTAAATTTTACACCCTAGGTATCTTGCTTGCCTTACCCTAGTCCTGGTCAGCTATACAAGTCAGTTGCATTCAGTATCAGAGAGGACTATATGAGTAGAAAGAATCATAAAGGACACGTTGGGGGGCTGGTCACCATAAGAAATATGTACTTAACCAAGATTCTGATTAATGAGGAGGGACTTCCACTGATTCAGCAGTTCTCAACTTTGGCTGAACTCTCTAGTCACCTGGAAGTGTTGATGCCTGGGCCTCATTCCACAAGGATTCTGATTTAATTATTCTGGGGTGGGACAGCCATGGTGTTCAAAAAAACTCAAAAACCTCTCCAGGTTATCCTCACATGCAGTCAGGGATAAGTACACTGCAAATGAACTAATTGTTCCTTTTGAGACTAAAGTCTATGTAGCATTTGCCTATCATATCTACAGCAACATATGCTGCTCCTTCCTAGGGCAGTGGTGTTTGGGTGGTTTAGAGGGATGAGGAGCATCAATAATTTATTCACTCAGGAACTCTGGTTGAATACAGAACAGGTCTGGCTAACTAGGTTTCTTCTCCATTTACCTATACATGATTTGAACTATTTTATAAAAGATTGGTAGGAGCAGGATTAATTCATCAATGCTAGTCTGATTTGAGCCTGTACATATTTCAAGATAGATGAAAACATGAGAGTCCCCGGATAAAAAGAGAGTAATAGGAATTACAAGAGTTGGATTGGAATTAGGGTGCCTGTTTATTCGTGTAACAACTTGGTAATAATTTGATGTACCCATGCATATGCACTCACACATGCATACATACCCAGAGGTAAAGCTGAGGATAAGACCACTCTTAGCTTATATCATTTGAGAGGCCAGTGAAGTGTTATCTATGTCTACTAGGCTACTTGGTTGTTGGCTAGTTTTCCCTTTGATCCCTCCTCATCCCATGGGGCAGGATGCTGGGTGGAACACGGTGGGAAAAAAAGAGGATTGGGATTGGTGTTCCTCTGCAAGGTATTCATATTCGGTTTTCCCTCCAGCGAAAATTAGCAAAATATTTTCAGTACACAGACTACTTGCACTTATTTGGAACACTTGATAGAGCCTTTACATTTTCTTCTTTTTGTAATTTTCCTAGGGAATGCAACAAACCTCAGAGATGATCATACTTTTGGCAAATAGTTTAGAATGTTGGCAGATGCCCAGATAGAAGAGGATTTGGCTTGGACATATGCTTGAAACCATTGTCGTCACCTCAGTCAGAGAACTAAAATGAAAAATAAAAACACTGCAAGTACTTTTTAATAACAGCAGTCTAATTTGCACTTCTTACATAATCAAGAAAATTCCTACAGATCGCATTGGGTATGAGCATGACATTGTCTCTCATTCTTGCTCAGTTTCAGGCATGTGCAGATGAAACAAGCTGAGTTGCTGGGAAACAGGTCATTCTCTTCTGACATCCATCGCAGCTGCAGTACAGGCTTGGCTAGAGGGCAATTATATTAATAAAGCACAATATCCACCTTCTCAGAGGATTCTAGCAGAGTTCTAGTCAGCAAAGTCTCAAGAGACTAGAGTGTCTCCAACTCATGACAAGGCAAATCACTTCCAATGGACTCTTGAATGCAAGTGTACTTGACGGGAGGTGGGGGTGGCTTGAAAGGCGGGGGTCTTTCCATGCTAGGAACAAAACATCACTCTTTCAATGCTAAGAATATGAGGCAATGATCCAAGGAAATAGGAAAGTAGGGAACAGAGAAAGAGATATGTCCACCAGTCCCCTCAGAATTTTTCCTTCTGCTCATTAGCCATGTTACGATAATATCATTAATTTTTTTATGGTATTTTATAGATTGCAAAGCATTTTTATCATAACATTATTTAATTTGTATCTAGGGATGGGATTCACCATTCTACAGATAATAGTGAGGCTCAAGGTCTTCAGCAACTTTCTGGTCTTTTAACCAGAACCCATACTCTCCATAGCAACTGCCTCCTAATAGAAGTGTTTCTCGTATGTGGGTTAACACACTCCCCCAGAGACAAAATTTTTAAATTCTGGGACTGAAGAGTGAATCTTTTCAAATAATCCCTTTGCCAACCTTACCCCCAGCCTTCACCCACACATTCACTGTATACTGTGAGGATAGGGTTGAGGTGGGAAGAAAAGCTCTTCTGAATCCTTGAATTGGTTGGTACTAGAAGGTTAATGCCGGAATCCCTTACATTTGAATCAGTGAACATTCTTACAGTACTGTTCTATGTTAGCACAACACATCTCTTTGTCTGAAGTGCATCAAGGCATATATGTAAATTTGGGATTTAGCTGTACAAATGCTCCAGATCTGTTGATATCAAGACATGGAAATTCATCTGTGAGCAGATTTCTATCCCTGACTCAAACACCTCTACCCTTTGTTGGTAAATCCATAGCACCTTAATTTCTCCAGAAAGATGGACATGGACAGGGACATGGACATGGACATAGAGAAAGACACACACATACATACACACACACACACACATACACACACACACACACAGAGAGATATTCTCATCTCTATATAACACAAACATTTGAATACAGAGTGATAAAAAATCAATTCAAAATTTCAGATTTCCATTTTAATATTTTAATAAAAATATCTAATGCTTATTACCTGTTTTTCTGATGCTTTGGTGCCAACAATATATTTCAAAAGATAGATAGAATTCTGAGAAATTTGTACTTCTGTATTTTCAGGGATATTATAAAGTCCTCAAGGTCATATGGTAGCCAAAGCATAGTCCTTGGATAAGAGCCCAGGATTTCTGACTACTGCTTTAGTGGTTTTTTTTTTTTCACCATGAAATACTCCCTTCACATGGTTATAGAGTCTTTGAGGTTACTTTTAGTAGAAGGTACTGTACAGTGGTCACTGGCATCTTAGATGGTAGCAGTAAGAGAAGTGGAAGAGGAATCTGTGTGTTGTAGGGATCTCCTCTGATCATGGTCTAATCTGGATCCAAAATAGCCAAGTCAGAAAAATGAAGCTTAATCTTAAATGCCATTTCAGATTGTGGAGTGGAAGGAAAAGATTTTTGGAAAATATTTTAATAAGACAAAAGAGGGGTAACCCACAGTTTACTTTCTTCTATCCTTAGGGAAAAAGGAAAAGGATGGTAAAAGCCCATTCTGCTGAAAAGCAGCTGGAGTTTCTTAATATTACCTTTCTCAGTCAATTTCACACTTGAGCATCTGAGCCCAGCTGGGCCCAGGCAGTTCAGAGATGCATGAAAATGAAAAAATAATGAAGATTAAAAGAAAAATCAGTTTTAGTGTTTGAGGTGAGGCAAGGCTCAGTTCTCATTTCATGCCCACTGACTTCTTCCAGACTGTCACAGACCGAATAGATTGAGGGGGACACTGAGTCAGTTGTGCAACTCATCCCAGCTGGATGGTCCTGGGCAAGCTGGGGAGTTTCTCTGGGCTTCTCTGGGCCTCATTTCCACAGTTCTGTGTGAGAGGAACTTCATATAGGAGTGATATTTAAAGTGCTGGGTGCATATTTTGTACTGAAAAAGTATCCCTGTTCCTGCAGATTCAGTATACTCACATTTCCTTCTGGTATTGACACCATTTTCTCACTCCAAGACCAAACAATGCTATGCAGAAAGAGAGCAGAGCTGCTACGATCACCGGCCAGGACATTCCATCTTTAGGTTTATTAACCGAAATACCTGCAAAGGGCATAAAGAGAGACAAACATTAATGCCAAACTTTGGCAATTAGAAAGCAGGATGAATTGAACTGTCTCTTCTACCTGTTTTCTCCAACAGCCATCATGACCACAATCATGCTCTGCGATCATATCTATGCCTTGTTCTTACTTCTGTTTTTGTGTGTCTGCAGTTAACTTTTTTGGTGAATGTCTTCCTTGTTAGAATTTTCCAGAACTAATCTTTTTTTTTTTCTTTTCTTTTTCCCAAGGCCCTGGATAATTTCTGTCACATAATGGCCAATGAAATGTCATTTGTAAGAATGAATAAATAAAAGGGATAAGCTTAAATCTGTATAACAAATTTACTCCAGTAAAGGAAACTTTATATGTGAAATAATGGCCTAGTTTTGTCTTCTCTTATTCTTTAAGGAATCATCAAATGCTTTAAGGGATATTAGTGTATTAGGAAGAGGAAGAAACAGTAAAAAGCATTTTAACATTTTAATGTTCCGATGCCCTAAAAATCCAAAACTGAGAAGGCTTGGCTACTATCTTTAGATTTGTAGTGCTCAAAACACCATCATCCAAGACTTTTAATTTAGATGTCACTCAAGGAATGATATCCAAAATAGAGATTTTTTTAAAGATTTTATTTATTTATTCATGAGACACACACACACACACACACACACACACACAGAGTCAGAGACACAGGCAGAGAGAGAAGCAGGCTCCATGCAGGGAGCCCGACGTGGGACTCGACCCCGGGTCTCCCGGATCAGGCCCTGGGCTGAAGGCAGAGCTAAACTGGAACCACCTGGGCTGCCCCAAAAATAGGGATTTTTCTAATCCTTTCTACCACCTTCCCTCTTTTTCTTTTTTTCTCCTATATGTATCCACAATAGAAAGAGAAGTGACAAAAGGGATAAAAGTGAAACCAGTTAGTTTTGCTCTTTCCATGGTCTGCAAAGGGAGGGAGTCAAAAGTAGAGGGCTGGCAGAAATTACATTGGTGGCTGATACATGCACTGATTTATCTTAGCCTTTCTGATTATATCCACACTCAATTCATTACATTTTTAGCATTTGTACACCAAGTCAAATTGTGTGAATCAAAGACTTTCAGATATTGTTGATTTTAGACCAAAGGCAATGTAAATATCATATTCTGGACTGTTTTACTTCTAATATGAAGGAAGAATGAAAAAGATTGACTCTCTTAAGAAATAAGGTTGTCTGATTCTACTGTATAGAATAAAAGGAAATGTTTATAATTCCATAGTTACTTAATATTTTCATTTTTAAAAAGCATTTTACAATCATGTTCAAACAGCATAGAAATATAAAACTGTAATGAAAAAGGAAGTGTCCTTATGATTTTGGATGCCAGTTATCCATATTAGAGGCAATAAATTTTGATAATTATGTATCACACTGAAAATTTTCTATGCATATATAAACATACATATGTATCATGAATATATGTCTCTCTTCTTAGAAATGAGGGCATACTATACATATTGTTCTGTCCCTGCCTTCTTTCTTCTTAAAAAAAATGCTCTTGGAATACTTCCACAGGCAGTGCATAGAGATTTACCTTATTTGATTAAAAGAGTGGATAGCTCCCAAATGTATAGATGTATCATGGCTTATTTAATTGGTCTCTTAATGTTTGAGGGTTAAATTGTTTCTAGGCTTTTGTTATTTCTAACAACACCCCAGTGAAATTCCATACATTATGGATAGATCTTTTTTTCTTAAAGATTTTATCTATCTATCTACTTATTTACTTATTTGACAGAAAACTGAAAGAGAGAACACAAGTATGCAAAGCAGCAGGCAGAGGGAGAAGGAGAAGCAGGCTCCCCACTGAGCAGATAGCCTGACAAGGGGCTCGATCTCAGGACCATGGGATCATGACCTGAGCCAAAGGCAGACACTTAACTAAGCCACCCAGGCGCCCCATGGATAGCTCTTGAGATTATGTAGACCATTTCGGCAAAAAGTCCATTTTGTATCACAATTACCCGGATTGATTTTCTTTCATTGTTTCAACTAGATTGTCAACTGATTGTAGGTAGATATTAGGTTTTTAATTTTGTTCATTGCCTCATATTTATTATAGTGCTTTTTATGAAGCTAAGCCTCAAAATATATAGGCAAAAAAAACCCAGATTCAAAATATTAGTTACCAAATCTTTTCTGTTTTACCTAGTTTGGACTGTGGCAATATGATGTCATGTTTACAACACAATCTAGAGTCTTGGAGTCTTCCTGATGTTCACCCAACCTCGGCCTAGCATATACTGAGGGTACTCTGGAAGCCCATGTACTCCTATGAGACCTACCCATACGCTATGTTGTATGTGCAGTTAACTAGTTCACACTAGTTTATTGTAGTAGTGGAACTGTTAAAGACTAGAGTATTATGATCATAAAAGAAACAATCTTACAAATAGTCAACCCAAAACTACACAAAATTCTGTTTTAGTCAAGTCAAAATTTACTAGGCTCTACACTGGTAACATGGAGGGATATAACATTTTACTCCTAAAGTTTCAGAGAAATAAAAGAACAAAAGGTTTTAAATAGGTCTTAAACCAATGCTTAAATTTTTTCTCCCAACCAAATACAGAAAATGAGACCATTGACTTCAGAAATGTCTCAGTGGAGAAGCAAAGCTTCAATCTTGCTCCATGTTTGAACTAGGCAGTTTTTTAAAGCATCAAAATCTGAAAGACATTGGTAGGACTTCAGTTCTATTGCCACATTGTATGCGGGATAATGCTCCAGTGATCTGAGGACTGGATGACTTTCCTTACAGAATAAGGTAAATAATCAAGTGGAGTGTTCACCAGTCAAGTGAACACTTCTTGAAGTGAAAGAGTTGATTATGCCTCTGAACTTACAATCAAGACCTGGGCTGGGAGGGTCTTGACCTCTTATGATATAAAACAAGAAACTATATTCAGTAGTGACAAAATTTTATTAATTATAGAAATACTCTTTGTTCTAACAATCTTTCTTGTCTCAAGATATATTTTCATAGGATAAAATGTTTCTCACTACTTTTCACCTGGCTAATCTTTATTTATTTTTCAGATTTTCATTTAAATATATCTTCAGAGGTTCCTTTCCTATTAATATCAGATCCTTTGTTACACTCTGACAAACCTTATACTATATCACAGTATCTGTCTCAAATAAATTTAATTATATGACTATTTACTTAATATTTATCATCTTCAATAGAGTATAATATTCAGAAGGCCAGTGTTTTCAAGGTCTCTCCTGTATATAAGACAAGAAAGATCTACTTCTTTCACAGTGTATACCCAACAACTGGTACAGTGTCTGGCAAATGGTAGGTACTCAGCAAATATTCATGGAGTGAGAAAACACAGTATTTAGAAAAAAGTAAATGACTCACCAGTAATATGGATGTGAATATTTTTTGTAGATCCATTGGCAGTTGTGGGAACTTCTGAAAATGTTCTGGCTGTGCTGGTGAAGACATCACCTAGGAATACACAGGGGATATTTGAACTAATCCTAATAGCCATCTCAACCCAATTGAGGGGTGTAAAATATTATTGTATTTCACTTGCCATTAGGAAGAGCTCATTTTTAATGGCCTAAATGCTCCTACAGTACTATGTATAAGGTTTAGTAAGAACCAATTTACAGCTAGGCTAGGACCTTAGAATCTAACAACCGCCAAAAGAGTGAAATTCTCTATTGGTTTAAAGAAGAAAAAAGAAGCTGTATAGCACACCGAACAAAACAATATCTGCTAAAGAATCTCCATGAGAAATTTAAGTAGTTATAGGAAAATGTCTTATGTTGTAACCATAGAAAAATGGAACCTATCTCTATTCTCCCAGGGTACCAGAGATCCAGTCAATCAAAATACCGATTCTCCTACTATGACGTATTGGATAAGGTCAATTAAACTTCCATCTTAGCAGACAAATCCGTGTTGACAAATCATCTCATTTTATAACGGAAAACTGAAATTTTAAATGCTTTGTAATGTATTTAATTATCCAAGATATGCTATTTTATAGATTTCATTTTGAAATAAAATAGAGAAAAAAATCTAAGACTTGGTTTCTGACTATCTTCTTTGAAGACCATGGCTGGGAAAAATTTTGGTTCTATTCATTGTCATTTTCATCATCAAGGTACACTTTTCAATATCTATCTGAGTTTCGAACCAGTTTTTGTTTTTCCACCTCTGCCCAAATAAAGCAGACTACTATCTTTCTTTTCTGTATTTCCCAAGTACTCACCATGAATTGTTGAGCTTGCCCCTGAGGAGGATGAACTATATGTTTCGTTGGGCATCCATGAAGCTGCTAAAGGAAGAAGATATTGGAAGAGTCAACCTGTATAAGAATAGTTATGTTATTTTATTTATTTTTAAATATTTCATTTATTTATTTGAGAGAAAGGGAGAGAGAGAGCAAGCTCAGGGAGAAGTGTAAAGGGAGAGGGAGAAGCGGACTCCCGCTGAGCAGGGAGCCTAATGTGGGGCTTGATCTCAGGACCCCAGGATCATGGCCTGAGCCAAAGGCAGATGCTTAACCAACTAGGCCACCCAGGGACCCAAGACTAGTTATTTTATTGTCTCTTCTTGACCTAATAATTTATAGTAAAATAATAAAATGAAAAAAAAATATTATTAATGAATATGTAAAATGAAATTACTTAACTATTCTGCAGCACACATTAGAATGTCCCAAAATAAAGTGGGAATTGAGTGAAAACTTGTGATCCTGATGTCTCCAATAGGGAAGGTTTTGATTATGGCCACTTAGAAGCAGGAGGCAGGAATGGATGCACAACATTAGGAGAGGTTTCTCCAGTCACAGAGAGTGTGTTGTAACTGTTCTGGTGTCCACCTAATACATAGGAGACATAACCAGGTGTGTTATGGTGGCCTTTACTCAAGCAAAGGTGCCAACAGGACTTTGAAGACCTTGGTAGAACATGTACAAAGGAACAAAATAGTTTGTACATGTGGATAAGCCGATATTCTTATTTGGCTATGAAAACTTAATGATGTCAACAGTGAATTATCAGGCCTCTTGGGTCATAGGCCTTGCTAGCTGTTGCATTGAGTCATCTTGATGGATTCAGAAGCAAACATTCCCTTTGAGTGGGGCAGTACCTATGTTTTTTGAAGTAGATCTATCAACTCATTTTGTTTAGTTCCCCATCTCTGGCAAGAAAGGTCTACTTCTTGGCAGGCTCTGCATTTCTGTATGTGATAACAGGCCTATAATGCAGTGTAAAGTAAAATAGCTATAGTTACAAGGAGTTGCAGTCAGTAGAAAAACATTATGTTCATTTATTTAAAACATTAGCATGTATGCTTTTCTATGTTAAGTGCTTTCCTGTGTGTCAAGACCAAAACAAAAAAACCAAAGCAAACCAAAACAAACATTAAGAAAAAACCAACAACCCTTAGTCCTCCTCTTTCTTGGTTTCCCCTAGATGACAATGGCAGTTGCAGCTGCAGACAAAGGTATGTGATCAGGCCCTTCAGGAGAGGTGCAATTCAGTGCTTTCCGGGATTGCTCACAATACAGTCTGTCATAGCTAGTTGACTTGAGGTCACCGCAGAGATAAGGGGGGTTTTGTACACAGCTATTTTGGGTCTGACTAGGTCAGGGTGACGTTCTTATCTTCAGTATAGTTATCTGACCCTGCACATGTGATCCTGACTTTTTGTTGTTGTTGCTGTTCTAGAATAGAATACCAAGGTCAGGGACACTTGGGTGGCTCAGCGGTTGAGCATCTGCCTTCGGCTCAGGGTGTGATCCTGGGATCCGGAATCGAGTCCCAAATCAGGCTCCCTATGAGGAGCCTGCTTCTCCCTCTGCCTATGTCTCTGCCTCTCTCTCTCTCTCTCTCTCTCTCTCATGAATAAATAAATAAATCTTTTTTTTAAAAAAGAAAAAGAATACTAAGGTCAATAGATGATCATGGACTGAGCCTTTTTCAAAAGACCATTTTGAAAGGCTAAGCCATTTAAGGTAGGGATCTGAGTAACAAAGAACAATAACTAATTAAAAAGAAATTAGAACTAGGCCTGGATTTAAGTAAAATTATGATGAAGGCAATTTGTTTTGGATAAGCTTACAAGATTTTTTGCCCAATATGGTGCCTCTTTTACTTCTTATTTTTAGGGATTGATACCTTTTTTCTTTTTTTTTATCTTTTCAAAGTCTATTTGCAAGAAAGGATGTGATTAATTTATGCTAAGATATAAATAGTTGAACAAGTGCTAACCCTTTGAGGGAAGTGGGTATTAGATTTTTTTCCATTTCATGTTTATCAATAGCAAGTAAATACAGAACATTTTTAAAAGGTTTTATTTTTAAATCATCTCTACACCCAATGTGGGGCAAGATCAAGTGTTGCATCTTCTACTGACTGAGCCTGCTAGACACCCCAACATAGAACATTTTGTAATGGTCAGTTACATATGGGTACCAACAGTTTTTTCACCAAATGAGGAATGCCAACTTTTTCTGGTCAATATTAATTTTCCCCAGGCAGAATAACCAAGCATAGCACAATTTCAAGAGTTGGTGATGCCATTAGCAGCACAATCCATCCAAATTACAAAAAATGGTGGTATTTAAAATTACTTGACCAGTTTTTAAATCTTCCTTTTTAGACTTCTAGGAATTCTCCAAGTGTAGAAAGGCTCCTCAGAAAATGTGTGACAAAATTAAACTACAGAACCCACTGTGGAAAGCAGAGTTATTTTTCTAATTTTGGCTTTAAGATTTGTTTTTAATCTGTTAAAAAATATGGTGGGGAATCTGTTGAGAGAGGTGAAGAAAAAGGAGACTCCAGTTGATGAGTTCAATATGTCTGAAAATACTTAGGTAATGTAAAGAAAAAAACTTCAAGAGAAAGAATGTATTTTACATAAGATTCTTTCAGCAAGATGAAGAGATGAACAATTCTTGTATCAATTACTCCCATAGGAAAGAGGTCTTCCTGAAGAATACTTATTTATAGAACCCTAAGTAAGATAGAGTTGGCTACTTCTAAAGATTCATATTTCACTAACATAATATATTTTCTTAAAGCTCATCCTCTTTTATCATTTAGATATCCAATATTTGGGATGTGCTCCACATTGGTCACTCCATCTGCCAATCTTAAGTCTCCTTGAGAGTCTCTCAGCAGAATTATGTTTCTATGTCTTTTAATTCATTTAAATATTCTGTGTTCTTCAAACCACCATTATGTTTGCTAAATACATGAGTTAACTCTCCTTTAAGTCTTTTGAGACTCCATCTTCATCAAAATCCATGAATAAACACTACTTTGACATTTGGCTGATAAACCCCAGCTTGATGGATAACCTTGAATACATCACCATTATCAGCCGAAAATATGAACCCAAATAGGTGCTTTAGCATGCCTTTCTACCACAAAGGGGTACTTTCATTTTATGGTTAAAAATAATCAATTTTGACAACATAGTATTTTTCCTTTGTTGCAAAAACTATCTTGTCATTCATTTGTAACCAGTGTACAGTGATCAATAATATTATAACATGTTGGGCATCTTTCCCCTTTGTGGGAAAATCTATTTAGTGTCATAGCAAAGTCCATGGTTATCTGCAGTTTGATAGCTCCTTTTTTGATAAAGCTACAGATAATTTCTTTTATTCTTACAGGGTCTTGGTGCAAGGTGAACTTCTTTAGAATTTGGGCATCATTTCTACATGTACATTTACCAAGACGTATCTCAGTTATCCAATTTTCCTTATGACATTTTGAGTTCTTCTGTCCTTGATTCTATCCTGGAACAATGGCATGGGTGGCAAGCAATATCCAGAAATGTAGGACTTGGATACTGGAAATCTCAGTGATCTTGATTTTCTACCCCATCCTCCACTTCAGGGTGAAAATGTACTGGGCCAGCACCACTCCCTACACTCTCTACACCAGTATGCACAGGCTGGCACCAGCTACTCTGTTTGTTCTTGCCAGACAACCTCATTCACAGATGGGACCCTCATGCTCTTCCTGACCATGAAAAAAGATGACACTCATGATCTTTGGAAATGCAGTGCTTTTGTGATAGCTGTGGAGAGACCCATGAAGCCCACAGAATTTGGTATTTTAACATAAGCTAGAACTTACAATCAGAAACAAATCTTTAATATGTGGTTGATATAATCAGGAACTAGGTATCAGGACTGGAGGAGAACAGTGTTTTAGAGAAGAGGAAAATAGAATGAGAAGTGACCTAAGACATATAAGATTTTGGAATTTGAGAGCAAGAGTGGTGAGTGTAGAGAATCAGCATCGTAGCCAACGGTGAGCAGCATAGCCTGAAAGAGGGGCAGGGCCCAACATTGCTGTAGGCTCTGGCATTGCTATGTCCCCGTAATTGACTCTCAACCCCTCAACTCCAGCCTCTCCATCCCCCCTGCCTATGCAAAGTAGAAGAGGTTGCTATGAAACTATTAGGCACAGTTACCAAGAGCCTTCGATGAACCAACCAGGACCAGGAACAGGGTACAATGCAATTGCAAGATTTACAAAGAAGAGTACATAAATTTTGAAGAATAAGAAATGTATGGTCAAAGAACAAAGTAAAGACCCCAAGTGCTGTCTTTAAGAGGTACTCTGAGGCCCAGGGGTGTATGTGTGTGTGTGTGTGTGTGCGCACATGTATGTGAGGTAATGATAAGCTTGTTGATTTTGGTAATGAGGTAAATTGGAGGCATAGGGTCCTAGGGAGACTCCTATCATTTTTCTGCTTGTCTAACTTAGAAAGACTGACTGATTTCAATGTGGCTTTAGACTCCACTGGACCAGATGGAAGGCAGGGAAAATCAGAAAGAAAAAAGTAATTAAACTTCACTTTTCTGCTCCAGGGCCTGATCATCTCCATGGCCTGATCATGTGAAAATATCCCAGGATGTTATTAACCTTATACACTTGGAGTATTTAGATGGTCAGATTTGGTATCCCCATTTCACAGGTGGTTAAAATACGCATTTCTGTTTCAAGTTGGAAACTTGCAAATGTAACTAGGATTAGATACTAATATTCTAAAGTTGATAAAATGACAACAAAAGAATGTATTAAAACATATACTTATAAATTTAGTGTAAGCGCAATGCACCCAGAATCTTCTTGTGACATTCAAATACATATAAGCTATGCAAAATGCATGTATAAGCAAATATCACATTAGAATGTGCTCACAAATAGCAAGAGCCATAGAAACACTGCTTGTGGGTTTATTTCACCAGATATCCATCCATTATCATTCTCTTACTGCCTGTGAACATTTCATAAATCTATTGAAATAAACATACTGGAAGGGAAAAAAAATCCTATTACCAATGCCTGTCACGAATCTTGCCAAATGCATCATCTAATATTGGATGTCACATTACAGTCCAATCCAACGAGTAGAAACATGTTTCAAAAATTGTTTGGGAGTGAGCAATCAATATTAACTTGTTGGATCCTAATGTGTTTTTGTGAATGATTATAAATAGAGCAACTCACTGCAGGGATTTTTTTTCTCTAAGCTTATGGATTAAAAATGGCAACTAGTAAACAAGATATCCTTATTTGCATAAGTAAGAATGTGAGTTTTCACTGCCAGGAAAATTTTGTTTGTTGGATTTTGGAGTGCCTTCCTAGATTTCACAATTTCTAAGGCTATTTCATGGTAAGAATGGTAAAGAGATATCTGAGGATAAATGAAGTTTTCAAGTGGGGAAGGACAGAAGATACGAAGAATTGCAATAGTTCATTTCATTATGAAATCTACTAAAAAGACCAAGAATATACTTGTGTAAATTATAAAGTAGTTTCATGCAAGACCTTTCAGTTTTCTAGTTTCCGGGGCAGAAAATACTTTGGGTTGCCTCTACATTACCATAAAGATATGAGGCATGGAATGAACAGGATTTCTTTTTTATTCTGGGCACACGTAATATTGGAGTAACAATTTAAGTAAAGCAAACAAAAAGCTCAAAAATTCCAATTAAGTAGATAATTTCTTTTCACTGTGTGCGTTTGGGTGTATTTTCTTGTTTTTGCCCATATGTACACATACTCTTTCAATTATTCAAGAAATATTTGCTGAGCACCTACTGTATGCCTGCCACTGCTACAGACATTATGATACTACAGTTGACAAGACAGGAAAAGGTTTAGGTCCCTGTTCTTGTGTATCTTACATTTCAGTATAATTTCAGCAAAAAATCAAATCAATAAAATAACGGAAATCATCAGACACCAAGTAGTTTGCTGAGAATGAAACTATAGGTTAATTTATAAATAACCATAGCATAAATTTAAGTTGGAGTTCAGATTTGTCCTATAATATTGTCCAATAATCTTTTACTTTTTAAAGATTTTATTTATGTGTTTATGTATTTATTTATTTAAGAGAGAGAGAGAGAGAGGAGGAGGAGCAGAGGGAGAGGGACAAGCAGACTCCACACTGATTATGGAGCCCAACACAGGACGGAATCTCACAACCCTGAGATCACAACCTGAGCCAAAACCAAGAGTTGGATACTTACCTGACTGTGCCCCTCTAATGATCTTTTATCACCATTGCTACATAATTCCCCCAATAACCAACAGATATTGATTCATTTATCTATTCAACAATATTTTTGAGCACCAGCTGTATGCCAGGCATTACTTTAGGCACTGGGGATGCAGGTAAGCAACAACAAAAAAGATTGAATTTAACTTGTATTATACTATCAAGAATAAAGAATGACAAACTTGTGTAGGTAAAGGAGAATCCAGCATAGTTCATTACAAATTCAATTTTATGTTAACACCATATAGGATAAATGCTAGTCTATTAAGTATGGACTTTCATCCCCAGTCTACCTAATATTTTTATTTTCAATTTATATCTGATTGGTTAAAAATTTTCCAGCCAGTACCGTTGTCTCTACAATTAGATGTACTGGCTAGCTTAGTACATTATGGCTATTGTTTGGATTGGCTTCATAATATTGCACTGAATTATTATATCATCCTATTTCACATCCTCTTATTATTGGATATATTTTTCCTTAACACCCTCCCACCCCCACTCATACACACAGATTGTTGGACTACTATAAATAACATCATGTCTTCTCCCTGCCTCATCCTTTGTATGCCTCTTCCAAAGCAAATGCTGTTTTGAATGTTGTGTCTATTATTCACTTGCTTATATAATTTTTAAGTTTTTATCACATATTATGCCTAAGCCATATGGTGTTTGGTTGTACTTACTTTAATATTTTATATTAAAATATCATTCTGGGGTGCCTGGGTGGCTCAGTCAGTTGGGTGTCTGGCTCAGGTCATGAATCTCAGGGTTGTGACATCAAGTCCCATGGTGAACTCCTTTCTTCGCACAGAGCGTGCTTAAGATTCTCTCTCCTTTTCCCTCTGCCCCTCCCCCTGTTGCACTCTCTCTCTAAATAAATAAAATCTTAAAAAATATATATATATGATATATATATATATATATATATATATATATATATATATATATATCATTCCATATATTGTCACCTGGCATTTACTTTTCTGACTCAACACAATGTTACTAAGATTCATTCATGCTGTCATTCACTCATTTTTCATTGCTCTATAATATTTTATTATATGACTATGCAATTATTTATTTTCTTGACTATGGTTATTTAGGTTATTTATAGTTTTTGCTATTATGAATAGTGTTTTCCCCTGACGTTTGTGTGCATATTTCCTGGATTCATGTACTAGCATGTGTGTAGGGGGCTGGAGTATATATCTAGGAGTGGAACTGTTGGGTTGTAGAGTATGAAAATATTTGGCTTTAAAACACCACGTCAAAATGGTGGAAAGTGATGGTACCAACTTATACTTTCACCAGCAGCATATAAAAAATTATATTAATCTACATTCTAGCTAACACTTGAGAATTCCAGACTTGTTAATTGATTGATTATGTGAAATAGTTATCTGATTCTTGTCTTTGTTTGCATTTCCTGATCACTAGAGAAGCTAAGCATCTCTGGATGTTTTGTAGCCATTGCATTACATCGTTTGTGATGTGTCTCTCTGCTCATTTTCTAGTGCTTTTGTATTTTTAAAAATTGATTTGTGAACATTCTTTACATATTCTTGATATGAAGTCTTGATCTTTTGTCAATTACATATTCCTGATCATTTTTCAAACACATATGCGGCAAATATCTTCTCCTACACTATAGCTTGCCCTATTTTTTTTTTTGCTTTTGCTAAATTGTCTTTTGATTAAAAGAATTTTCTTGACTTTATGGTATTCTGACGTTTCCATCATTTTTTTAAAGATTTTATTTATTTATTCATGAGAGACACAGAGAGAGAGAGAGAGAGAGGCAGAGACACAAGCAGAGGGAGAAGCAGGCTCCATGCAGCAGGGAGCCTGGTGCAGGACTCGATCCCAGAACTCCAGGATTGCCCTGGGCTGAAGCCAGGCACTAAACTGCTGCGCCACCCAGGGATCCCTGTTTCCATCATTTTTATGGTTAGTACTTTATGTCTCTTTAAGCCCTTCCTAACCCCAAAGTCAAAGGGAAATTCACCTTTATTTTATTACATGCTTTAACGTTTTGCTTTTGACATAAAGCTCTCACACTCTATGAAGCCTACTTTTATGTAATGTACATAGCAGGCATACATTATAATACTTTTTTATTATAAATAATCAGGGTTTGCAGATCCATTTGCCGATTGCCTCTTCTTTTCACAGGAATTTGCCATGCCACCTCTGGCTTGTCTAGGTTACACTTATTTGAGGAGCTCTGGATGTGCTCTTTCATCTGATGCTCCCCTTTTCACTTCTCATAGATGGGCACTGAATTCACAGATGTCCGTTATATTATTAACATATTTGTTAAAAAATATGTTAAATTAAATTATAGAAAGTCATATATAGACTAGTGGTCAAAGTGTGTCATGAATTAAGGTTTATGATTAGTCCAGATCTGTGAACCTGAGGTCCACAAAAGAGAAAGTAAATAACGAATGCAACGAAGAGCAATATTATACATGTTCCTCTTTGCTCTTTGATTTATTTCTTAAGGACAGTTCCCAGCAGTGAAATGACTGAGCCACGGGGTATGAAAGACTTTAAGAGGCTTTCAATGTACAACTTAAATGCTTTCCCAAAAGAGACACACACACTTACTCTTTGTAGCCAAGGGCCTAGTAGTAAACCCAGAGTTCTGCACTAGTGGCATCTGGGGTCTTTGCTTGGGCCACATCCCTTGCCACTTCCCTACTGTGCAGATCTTGGGCTTTTACCACTGAGAGGCAGTATACTTCCTCTTCAGATCCTGTCGATACCTGCTAATGCAGCATCAGCACACGCTGCTGCTAGGTGGCCAGAGTAAGTGGCCAAACCATTTCTGTGCCTCACACTGGGCTCCCTCTTCTCACTGCTTTTAGTGATATGTGTATTTTGGCTGGTTCATTCTTTCCCCAGACATCCTCATAGTTGGCTCTTTGATCTCTGTGAGTTATGTCTTTACTAAGATGTCACCTTTCTCAGGAAGGCCTTATGAATCCACCTTGTTTGAAATAGCAGCCCACCCTCCCACCGGATCCTCAAGGTCTCCCTTCACTGCTTTCTTTATTCCCTAATCACCCATCACCGTTCACCTGTCTCTCTTCCACTGGAATTTGCAACTTAGATCTGTTTTGTTCACAGATGTATCCCCAGCAACTACAACAATGCATTAAAGACAGTAGATGTTTTCTAAGTATTTGTTAATATGATTATGAGCAGAGCACAGTGTAGTTCATTATAGGTGCTGGATGAATTAATGAGGCCCAGAAGACCCCAAGGGACTCACAGTTACACGTACAGTTTGTGGTATCTTTCCCATTAGAGGTCCAGGAGTAGTTGAAGCCTTGGGTAGTCACACTGGAATTGCTGGCTGAAAGACAAAATTCTCAGAATCCAACCTTTTTCTACAGCTGTAATTTAACTTTACTTTGATGTGCTGAATTTTTAATCTATGTGACTTTGGGGAAATCTGAAATTGAAAATATGCTTTCCTACACAGGAACACAGCTGGCATATTAAACACAAGCTCTGTAGTTTATGTTTAATGCCAACTTGTTACTGATTTTCTTTCTTTTTCTGTTCTTGTCATCAACTCCGATCACTGGGAGTACTGTCAAGACTACTTTAATGTTATCTTAAAATTCCACAAGAAATGAGAAATGCAGTATAATAATTCACCACCCCATATTTTAAAGATTACAGTGATTGTCATATCAATTTATAGCCACCATTTAGATTACAATTCGCCACAGAGCAATTCAAAAGCAAAATATCAATATCAAATGAAAAATACAGCCTCTTGCCCAAACCTCAACATTGTCACAGCTGTACTAAAACTTGTGTTTTGTCTGTTTCCAGTCCCCTAAGGAAAGCCTTCCTATACTCACTCTGTGGGGCGGTATTTGGAGTCGAGGCACCCACGTCTTCAAGGGCTGTGGAAGTTACAGCTGGATATCCTATTTTGAAAACAAAATTCCCAAGTTGTTATAAGTGTTTACATTCCCATGTTTAATATACTGCTGTAACTAATGAGGGTGGTGTGCAGAGCTTGGAATATTAGAGAAGGAAAGTGAATACAGTCTAATGACTTCCTTTATAAACTATGAACCTGAGTCCAATGGGCATACACTTGTGGCTGCATATCCAATATTCAATATCATTTATATTAACTCAGTTCTCCTAACTCCCAGTGTATTATGTTCACACTTTCAAAACATGTTGTTTTAGTGTCTATTGTGTGCCAGACTCCAATCTACATGCAACAATGAAGACAAGGTTCTTGCCTTCATGGAACTTACCTTGGTAGTGAGTTTTCACAATTGTACATAATATTTTCTTTCTTTTTTTTTAAAAAAAGGATTTTATTTATTTATTCATGAGACACACACACACACACACAGAGGCATAGACACAGGCAGAGTGAGAAGCAGGCTCCCCACAAGGAGCCCGATGTGGGACTCAATTCTGGACCCTGGGATCACACCCTGAGCCAAAGGCAGGCACTCAACTGCTGAGCCACCCAGGCACCCCTGTACATAATATTTTCATATGCTCAATATGATTATTTACCTACTTCAGTTCTTAGCTTTCAAAATCATCCCCATCTTTATAGTCCATCATTTCCCATTCTTCCCCACTCTCTATTCCTCCCAAAATGAAAGACTAATTCATATTCAATTGAAAATATCTCCAGGGATGAAGCAAGGTAAATTAAAAAAGAAAAATACCCAATCACAGTCCATTGAAAACATGGTTCTATCTCTTGGGAAAACAAATATATTTAAGATCGCTTATATAAATACTCAATTCAAGAAGATAACAGAGTAGACAGAAAGGGAAACTAAAGCCAAGGAAAATATAGTTAGAGAAAGTATGTTGATCCTTGTTGAAACCTGGGTGGGGATATTATACAAAATTCATTTCTTGATGTCGTATACTCTTAATTGATGTGGGTCCCACATTTAGTCAGAACTTTCTAGTAATGATGCTAAGAAATAAAGAGTATATGTTATGCCATTAATGGCTATTATAGGATAAAAATAGTCAATTTCAAGAGAAACACAGCTATTCTTTTTATTGTGATTAAAAACAAATTTCTATTTATTTATCTATTTATTTACTTATTTATTTATTTATTTAATTCATGTGAGACACAGAGAGAGGCAGAAAGAGAAGCAGGCTCCCTTCAGGGAGCCTGATGTAGGACTCGATCTCAGGAGCCTGGGATCACGACCTGAGCCAAAGGCAGACACTCAACCACTGACCCACCCAGACATCCCTCTCCCTAGTCTTTTAAAAAAGAAGACTGTATACTGTGTCTAATATTCTTAACAATGTCCTTTTAGTATGACAATCAGTATACTCATTCACCTGTAAGCTTGAGTTAGTAATGAATGGCATCCCACCTTCCCAGGCACCTCAGTTCTGGGAAATGACATGCTTAAATAAAAAAGTAGATAATCAAATCTCTGAAAATAAATAAGTAGGATACACAAATAAATTGGCATCATGATTTATGCATCTGAAAGTGATTTACAGAAATGATCAATAACAATCATTTTGCAATGCAGGCTGCTAGTGGACACCAAAGACACGCTGTACCCGAACTTCAGGAATATAGTCAGTTATGGAGAGTTGCGTTAGAGGCTGCCTCAGATGGTGCCGTATAAGGAACCAAAATGGGCAACCAGCATCAGGATGGCAGATAAAATGTCTTAAATACTGAATATGCACAGCTTCATTTATCCAACAAATACTTATTGAGAGCTCAGTGTGTATGAGAATTGGGAATGAAGTGAAGAGAGAAATATGGCTCTTGCTCCCACAATTTAGTGAGAACAAAGGTCAGTGTGGTAGACTAGCAGATGGTCACCAAACCCCTTCTTCTCTCTGGTACAGGTGAACTATATCTCAGAGCCTCCTATGGGGTTGGTTAGGTGTGGCTGTGTACTAAGTCTTAGCCAATGGAACATGAGTGGGAGTTATGGTTGTCATTTTAAGACCTGATGTATAAAATCTTCTATGTAATAAGCATCATGATCTTCTCTCATGTGTTATCAGATATTATGATGCAGGGGGACTTAGAGGTCACAACCTAAAGGCGATAGACCTGCTGGAAGCCTGGGTTATTAAATGATGTATGGAACAGGACACCCAGCCACTGGATCACAGAGTGAATTTGAATTTTATTTCTTTCATTGAGACGGCTTTGTCTTTATCTGCAGTGATTCCTTCAATAACTTATTTATTTATTTTTCAAGTTTTAATTTAATTTCTAGTTAACATATAGTGTAATATTGGTTTCAGGAGTACAATTTATAGTGATTCATCACTTACAATACAACACCCTGTGCTCAACACAAGTGCCTCCCTTAATCCCCGGTACCCATTTAGCCCATCCCCAACCCACATCCTTCCAGCAACCCTCAGTTGGTTCTCTGTAGTTAAGAGTCTCTTATGGTTTGTTTCCCCCCCACACCTCTTTTTTCCCCCCTTTCCATATGTTCATCTGTTTTGTTTCTTAAATACCACATATGAGTGAAATCATATGGTATTTGTCTTTTTCTGACTTATTTATCTTAGCATAATATACTCTAGCTCCAACCATATCCACATCATTGCAAAGTCCACTCTCATCATTGTTATTTAATGTAGTACTGGAAGACTTAGCCTCCGCAATCAGACAACAAAAAGAAATAAAAGGCACCCAAATTGGCAAAGAAGTCAAACATTCACTATGTGCAGACATGATACACTATGTAGAAGACCCAAAAGACTCCACCAAGAAATTGCTAGAACTGATAGGTGAATTTGGCAAAGTCGTAGGATAAAAATTCAATGTACAGAAATCTGTTGCATTTCTATACACCAATAATGAGGCAGCAGTAACTGATTTTAAAGTTTTTATGTTGTTATGTATTTTTAAAGTTATCTCCTATCCTTTTTAAAATAAGGCAAGGCAAAAAATGCATAGAAGGATATAAATGACTAATAAGTAATCTTTGGATACTGAGTGATATGCTTTTCCTAATTAATAGAGGAACAAGTGAAAAAGGAAGGGGGAGGGGAGGGGAAAGAGAAGAAAGACTCTATCCAGGTTTTAAATGATTCTCGGAAGAAGAAATGAATGATCCTTTTACTCTGGGATTTAATTCCTTACATTGGAGAGAGTGAAGCTTTCATTGTTGGTCAATAGTCACCTCTCATGGATGACCGACCTACCTTCCTTCCTTCCTTGCTTCCTTCTTTCTTTCCTTCCTTCCTCCCTCCCTCCCTTCCTCCCTCCTTCTTCCCTCCCTCTCATTCTGAGAAATGACCTCTGTAGAATTCACTGAATGATTTAGTAAGTAAAAGCAGAAAAGAATGGTTTTAAAGTAGTGATGTAATAACAATGGTGATAATGATTAAAAAAAATAAAGAACTAAGAAGTAATCACCAGAGACCTTTGTATTTATTTGTAGCCAATAGTACTATTACCTAGAAATCTCAGTCTATATGGAACTGCCAGCCACCTTTGAAAATATCTCTTACTGGGGATCCCTGGGTGGCTCAGCGGTTTAGCGCCTGCCTTGGGCCCAGGGCATGATCCTGGAGTCCCGCATTGGGCTCCCTGCATGGAGCCTGCTTGTCCCTCTGCCTGTGTCTCTGCCTCTCTCTCTCTCTGTGTGTTTGTCTTTCATGAATAAACAAATAAAATCTTTTTAAAAAAATCTCTTACTTAACAAGCTAATGGACATTTTCCCTAGCCGGTCAGATTGTCCACACGGACCATTAGCTCCATGTGATTTAATTTTGTCAGTAATCAGAGGAATCCCAATGAAGTATGATAACTTGACTGAGAACTTCATTGGTATTAAAATGACTAAATTTCTTTTCTGAAGGATCAGAAAATAATGTGACATAAATCCTTGCTTACTGCAGGTTTACTGCAGGGAAAGGAGAATTCATTCATTGATTCCATTTAACATGTTGTTCTTGGATCACGTTGGAGGAGGGACGCTAACTGCCCCAGGCTCACGGTATGGCCCTGATCTTCGTGTTACTGTGTCTCCTGCTTGGCATAGGTATCAGTGCTGCTCTACGCTTCCTCTCATAGGCCTGTGGAGTTTATTGAGGGCTGAGTGTGTGCCAGTAAGCGTCTGGGAACAAAAAGATCAATGACACCTCATCAATAACCCCAGGGAACCCAAGCTCATTTCGGTCTTAATCGTCTCCAGCTGAATGTTGTTTGGGTCTGTACCAGGTTGCATAGATTATTGGAAGAATGATCTCTTTACTCTGAGACCTTGTTCCCCATGTGCAAGTCGTGTTAAAGCCATTTAGAAAACTATCTAGTTCTTTCGGTATTTTAAAGCCCACTCACTCCTCTTGGCTTTACAGTATACTTCAAGGTTAAGATTGGCATTATGCAACCTGACCTCTAACAATCTCCACCTTGTTATCTCTTGCTACTGCCTTCCCGTGTCCTTTCATTTATTGACCCAGGATTTGGAAGCCTCTATCTCCCAGGCACTGTGCTTGGCACTGGGGGCATCATCATCAACTCCCTTGGAACTGAAATTCATGGAGGATACAGACACCAACCAGAGAATACAGAAACCACTCCAAATCTGAGAACACATGAAAGGGGGAATGGCTTATTCAGAGTCCCAGGGAGGTTTCCCTGAAGGATGTAGTGAGGGTGTGGGAGGGTTGATGGAAGCCTCCAAGCCTCCAAGCAGAGGATACAGACAGTACAAAGGCCCAATGGGTGGTCTCATGCACTGTTAGTACCAGCAGTGTGTGGTACGTGTCTATTCAGGGTTGGGCCTTTGTAAGCCCTCAGCGAGGTACTGTTCTGTGTGTTGAATTGAACTGAGGATGAGATTGAAAGGCATCACTTGCCATAATGCACACCCATGGCCTCAGCAGCAGAGGCCAGTGATGCAGCTGTAGGACACTAGTGGCAGCAACACTG